CTCAGTGGTTACAGACAAATGTCTTAAAAGCTGAGCTCACGGTAGACATCCGTCAACTCGAGTGCATGGTCCATGGTTTGCAGTGCTAGCGCGTCCTTTGGCTATCAGATGTCGTTCAATTACACCCATGGCAATATGTGACAAGATGATGCCAAGATGATGCCGCTCATTCACGTCCTCTGGACCCTGACAGTCGCCCTTGTGGTCAAGCGTGTCCACGCCGTGTCGACATTCTTGACTGTCGTGTGGCCACGCATTTGTGGGCTCTCTTCTTTGAAGGCTTCAAATATTTGGCCTCTATGCCAACACCAGGGGTGTAATGAAAGCATTGTGGCTCGGTCTGGATGAGTATCATGGTAGACTGCATTGTTATACAGGGCACATTTGCGGGCTCTCTTGTTTGAAGGCTCCAAATATTTTGCCTTTATGCGAACACCAGGGGTCTAATGAAAGCATTGTGGCTCGGTCTGGACGAGTATCATGGTAGACTGCATTGTTATACAAAGGCACATTTGCGGGCTCTCTCCAAATATTTTGCCTCTTGAAAATGAAAGCATTGTGGCTCGGTCTGGACGAGTATCATGGTAGACTGCACTGTTATACAGGACACATTTGCGGGCTCTCTTCTTTGCGACATGCAGTGAATTGAGGGGCGAAAATTTGCTGTTTTCGCTGACAGTTTCGGTGCAAAATTTCAGTGAGAAATTGAAAAACAAAGTATATGGGCCTATATTGCAAACATTAAAAAAGCAGACATGCCAAAGAAAACGAATGAAAAAAGCACAAAAACCCAACAGAACCCTAACACGAAAAATCTTCAAGAGTTACAATGAAGCGTTCAACGAATCCAACGAACTGCCAATTTATGTAAAAACTGGGCACATGACGTACCCGAAAGCAGCACCTACATATCACAACAAAAGAAAAACAAGTAAAAAGCAAAAATTCAGGGCAATCTGACAGTTTCAGTGCAAAATTTGGCGAAAAAAAACACCCCCGGTTAACCACATGTGTGGTGGTCAATCACTTTTTAATGAACACTGGGCCTCTCGGCATATTGACACCCCGCCTTATCTGTACTTTGCTTTCCAAGTGCACAAATCTTCAGCGGCTTGTCGTCCCATCCTTGGGCTTGAGGTCACACAGCGAAACAATCTTTCCCAATCTGTGCCTTGCTAATCTACACGCCCTGAGGTCGTTTCGTTCCCACCGGTGTTTACAGTCCGTACGCGATGGTTTGTACCAAAAGTTCTTCCCCATCTGTGCCTTGCTAATCCATAAGCCCAACTGTATCTCCCTTTCGCTATAACCTCTTTATATTTAAGGTCTACTTTGTAAAATCTTCTCTTTTCCTGCCACAGGTCATTTCTTGGGTCTAAGTAGGCGGTCAGAATTCCAAAGACATTGGCTGTCCGGGACAATGCGTCGGTGATGACATTGTATTTCCCTTTTAGCTGGTTTTAGTTGGAAGTCAAACTCATATATCTGTCTGCCCCCCGCCGGATAGCTTAGTAGACATCCGGGCCTGTGTCATCAACCAGCGTAGGGTCTTATGATAGAAATAGACTTTAAAATGCTGTCCTAACAAATGATGACACCATGTCCGTAGGGCTTCATAGAGAGTATACAGCTCATGCTCATAGGTAGAGTCTGTGATTTGTTCTGATGGCAGTCTCTTGCACATCATGAACTCTACTGGTCTATAGCCCTTTCCATCGTCCTGCTGTACCGCTGCCTCTATCCTGTACTGGTTAGCGTCCATAGTTACCACATATGGCATCTTCGGTACAGTCTTCAATCAGTTAGTTGGTTTCATCAATCTAGGGATAATCGGACTTGAACTGATGGCTTCCACCATGTCAAGGCAACACTCTACTGCTGAGTTACACCCCTCAACAAAGAAAAGTGCAGTCCTTGTCCCATAACCATAAAGTTTCCTTCTTTAGCAACCTCCGAAGGGGTGCGGCTATTGTGGTCAAGTTTCGAACCCTAGGAAAGAGTACAGTTAGCTGAGCTTCGTGGCTGTCGGCCAGTCTCTAATGGCTGCTATCTTACTATCTTCAAGCTGTACTTCAGGCTCTACTCCATCCCCATCTATGGCATGGCCAAGGTACAGCACACGCCGCTTTCCCCACTCATACTTCTTCGGGTTGACCTTGAACTTGTTCTCTCTTAGCTTAGTTAGGACCTTGCATAGATGCTCCTCATGTTCTTCTACAGTCTTGCTAAATACTGAGATATCATCTATGGATATAGAACTATGAATCTGTCAAGCCGGTCTCTAAGCATGTCATTCATGTAACGTGAGGAGGTAGCAGGGGCGTTAGTTAGACCGAAGGGCATCATGTTGAACTCAATAGTGGCCATACCTAGTTCTAAAGGCAGTCTTGTGCTGATCTTGGGGGGCCACTGCGATCTGATGATACCCCGATTTCAAGTCTATCTTAGAAAATCATTACAACCCTGTAGCCAACCCGGCAGTTCATCTGTCAGGGCAAGAGGTTCTGCATTCTTAACAATCATATCATATACACCCCTGCAGTCTATACAAGTCTCAATTCTCTGTCGTTCTTAGGGACAAACAGAAGGTCTCAATTCTCCGTCGTTCTTAGGGAGGAACAAGACGGGCGAGCCATATGGTGTTGGGGGCCCACGTCGATCTGATGATACCCCGATTTCAAGTCTATCTTGGATTTTTTTTTTTAATTACAACCCTGTAGCCTATCCGGCAGTTCATCTATCAGGGGTAGAGGTTCTGCATTCTTTACTATCATAGCATTTATACCCCTGTAGTCTATACAGAGCCTCAATTCTCCTGCTTTCTTAGGGACGAACAAGACGGGCGAGGCATAGGGTGATGAGCTTGGCTTAAAGCACCAGTACACAGCCCCAGCCTTGCAGTCCGAAACTTGTCGCCACAAGAAAACGAGTCTGAAATGTCAAACGCTCGGCCCGCCGTTGATAAATTTGATCAGCGGCCCCGTTTTCGTTTCGCGCCTCCAGAATTTGAGGTGTCAGACCCGCGGCCCAGGTGCCCATGTACTGGTGGTTTAATATCCCCCTTATATACTAACCCTTGGATTTGCGTGCACAGTTCTTCTAACTCGGAAATGGTGCCATCTTATAAATTGGGCCCTTGGGAATCTTGCGGCTATCTCAATATGGTGCTTAATTGACCTCTCCACTATTCCCTACCTAGCCTGAGTCTACAGAGTTCCTACAATCTGGGACAGGGATCAAACCTCGGTTAGCCGGGGTTGCGGTTGTGAATCTCCCTACCCCCAATAATAGCTAACCTCTGGTAAGCAGCGGTGAACTTGTAAAGAGGGTGTGAAGAAGAAGAAGAACAAACGAGGAAAAGAAGATGAAGAGGAGGAATGTAACACTGTGCACTCTAGGGTCATTGAGTGTAATTGCCAAAGGCTATGAACATGCCCAAGGACCATGGCCCAGCACCATGTGAGCGAGTGGGGCCACGGACCCTTCCGTGAGCTATGGACCTAGAGCCTTGATACCATGTTCTGCAAAGTGCAGTGGCCAGTTTAAACCACCAGTACCTCGGCCATATATCGGCCGCGGGCCCCTCATCGCAACTTTCGGAGGTCCGCGCCGCGCCGAGGGCCGTCGATGCAAAATATCGACGGCCGTGGGCCCCCGAAACTTGCGGCGCGTTAACGGCCGCGACAATTTTTGCAGGCTGGGCGARGTACTCGTGGTTTAAGTGATGTAAAGCTGGCCGATTCCCAGTATCCGCCCCAGGCAAGTTGAGAATAAAAAATTGACTCAATCCAAAGATTTTGGATGAACAAGGCTGCCGGACCGAAATGGAAGGCGTTGGCAGCCGAAACGAAAAAAGTGCGCGTTGGCAGTTAGTTTTCATTTGGCACGCAGCGCAAATCCGCCTCGTGAAAAGGAGGCTCGAAGTTGCATATGGTTTAAGGCTCTGTGCTAATCTTGAACATCTTGCACTTTTGAGAAAGAACAATAAACAATATTTAAGTAAAAGGTCACTCGTGTATAAATGATGTTGTTTCGTGCCAGATAAACCTAAAAATGCAGTTTGCTGTTTGATGCCTGACTGCATGGTTTGTGGACAGGAAGGTCTGTCTATGTCTGTGCTTTGAGCCGATTCGTACTAATCTCAAACCCTCCAAGCAGTTGCATTTCTGTTGGCTGGCATGTTTGGCTCCCCTTGAGAACGGGGACAATATGCTTGACTCTATGCAAGGGTTTGACATCTCGACTCACTATTCAACATCGAGAGGCCTTCGCCACTGCAGGAAACAGGAAGGTTTATTGTTACATTTTCCCTAATTTCAGTTTTGCACCCGTTAACTGAAGGAGCTGAAAGTGGGGGTCTCCGTTAACCACTTGTGCTGACATGGTGACTCATGGTTCAGACCACTTGCTCTTTATCGTTGCAGTTTCTTAATAGCATGGAGAGCTCTGAAAGGAGCCTGTCATCTTGTCATCCACCCTCTGTGTATCCAATAAACATTTGAATATCTGTCCTTGAGGGAACTCCTAATGGACTTGATACCATATCTATAGGAGTACCATCTTGAGTATAAGGCATATCTTCTGGTGCACACATGCCAGCCTGTGAACACATGCCCATTGCATAGCCCCATCATAAACTCTTGTGACCCCCTTCTTGTTGCGCATGCCTGTCACAATCCATTTGCCATTTCTGTGATGCGATCTTGTCACAATCTTAAACGACCAGCACCTCCTAAAGTCACAGCCGTTAACGCGCCAGCCGCAGGCTGAACGAACGGGTCACTCGGAGAGCGGCCCAAATTCATCCAACAAGAACGCTTCCACTCAATTTTTTCCTGCGGCTGATATATGGCCGACGTACTGGCGGCGTAAGTGCTTGTGCATGACATGACATCTCCATGCAGATGTCAGTCACAGATAGTTATGTAATGCTACAGTCGCACGGGAACAATGTTGCGACATGGGTGACAATGCTGATATGTCTGTTTGTGTCTATGCAGGACCTGGAAGCTCATTTTTCTTTGCCTTTAAGGAGCATTGGAGGGGCATTGAGTTTTGGGATACATGGAGGGTTCCTTATGCCATGGGGAAAAGATTTCCTGCGAAGAGCGACACCAATTAGTGATAGGTTTTTCCTTGGCGGTGCGTCATCTTTGCGTGGGTTTAGAACCAAAGGCATTGGGCCTTTCGATGAGAGAATACCAGAACCGGGTTACAACGGTGATGCAAAAAGGGATGCTCTTGGGGGGGATGTGATGTTATCAGGAGTGGCTTCACTTTCGTTCAACCTTCCGGTGAAGGTACTGCAAGCCCTTGGCCTTCATGGACATGCCTTTCTGCAGGCAGGCAATGTCATCTCCATCGCTGGCACCGACGCCTTGCCTCATCCGAAGGATTTTCTATCATCCTTTCGTGTTTCCTCGGGAGCGGGTCTCGTCTGGCCTACCAAGCTCGGGCGCCTTGAGGTACATATGCTGAATAGCTATGCGTTGTGCTCGGTGCCATTTGTAATAGAATGCATGAGTTTGGATGCTTTTGATTGATTCTTGGCTTTGTCTAGTAGCTACTGCTGCATGAGTTTCGAATCTGGATGCTTTTGATTGATTCTCGGCTCTGACGAGTAGCTACTGACTATGTGTTTCAGGTCCCTTTGTTGCTTCAAAATTCTTGGTCCCTTCTTTTATGAAAAGCTTAGTCTCATCAGCAGAGATCGTGTGTGCATGTGTTCCTCATGCTCTATGGCATGGGTGGATGAGCCTGTGCATTTGGATGGGACTGACGTGTAAGGGTGGAGCAACATGTGTCTGTGCATGTCAGAGGGGTCATGTAGCATGTGCGTGTGTGTGTGTGTGTGTGTGTGTGTGTGTGTGTGTGTGTGTGTGTGTGTGTGTGTGTGTGTGAGAG